TTGCCTCAAGGTCGTCTAAGTTCATCCCACGGGTATTTGGGGGGGGTGGCTGACTAGGCACTGCTGCGTTGTCTGCTGTCATGTCATTTTCACTGTCGGAGTTCTCTCTCTCCCCAAGTCATCAACAGTTGCCTGTGAGGCAGTGGCCTGGAGTGTCAGGCTCTTATCACTCACAGATTCATAATGTTTGGTAATCTGTGTGGGTTTCTGAGAGGAGGGGTATCTTTCCCATGTTTGAGCACTTAAGAGCGGCACACCACACCAACTCTAGCCAAAGGAAAGACACACACAGCACTGCTGCCATAACAAAGCTAATCCCTAGCACCTCAGCGGCTGATGGCATTCTACAGGGGGTTCCCTATGTTAGGCGAACAGACAGTGGCATGTCAGGTCGTATGCATGTCCTGTGCTTAGTGGGGGACTTCCTTGATTCATCAGGTCAAGGCCGTATGCCCACATGGTGTCTCTGGAGTGTCCCCTCTCTCGAGTAAGGGAAGATGACTTGGTTCGGAATTCTGGGATGATCAGTCCCTTACGTGAATTGCTGGGAGAATCGAAAGTAAAAGGAGGAGCTGAGAAGCGACGTACACTTCTGGGCGGTGTGGGTCACTTCGACAGAGGACAAGGGCAAGGAAAGGGGCGTAGGAGGGGGTTCTGTGGTCACCCTCACAGAACCGAACAGCACACAAAACACGGAGGGGCCTTCTTGCCAAAATCAAGGGGGGACCTCACCAAGTCCGACATGCTGTCTTTCAGTCATGTTGGGTGCCAGACGTTGCTGAGGATTTGTTCAGAGAGGAGGAGCGTGGCAGGGGCAAGAGGTGCAGAGTCACCACACAGACCCCAGGAGTCGGGTGAAATTGGCCAGAGGGGAGCAGCCTGCAGACTCGTTTGTTTCAGTTGGTACAGCAGCTTATACAGCCAAGGCAGCCAATCCGGTCAAGGGGTAGTTTATGCCCTAACCAATCACAGCCTGTTGCCAGGCAGGCTCTGTTGCCAGGTGGGTTTTGAAGCCATTCCTGAGTAACAGACGCTAGCTTGCCAGCAGCCATCTTGGCATGGCTTTCTCATTCCACCACAGTGCAGCAGCCGGGACTCAAACTGGCACCCATATAGGACGCTGGCACTGCAGGCGGCAGCTTTACCAGCTACACCACAGCACCGGCCCCTAAGCTTATGTTTTAATTCTACTTTCCATGAACTTTTTGAAGTACCCTCATACATAAAACCCAAAAACACAATGTTGTGTGACAGCGTAAGGTACAAAAGGGTATGCATGGGATACCATTTATGTTAACTTGTGCACAACACTCAGTATTCTAGCCTGTCACAGATACACACACACAGCAAATAAACCACAAGTGGTTACCTGGCGGGTGGGAGAGAGGCTGAAAAAATCTTACAGAACGTGGCAGAGATTTTGTCCTAGTCCCATTTATTCCCCCCTACCCTCGGGCCTCAGGAAGATTTCCCAGAATGCCCTCCTTTTATGGGGGGCACCCTGGCTGAGTTCCAGCCAGCAGGAAAATCAGGATGCAAGTGACCTGCACCACCTCGTGGGGCCTAAGACCTTCCACGCACTCCTCCAACTTCTCTCTGCTCACAAGATCGGCTGGGTGCCGAGGTCCCAGTGAGGCCATGAGGTCCTGGGCCCTCCCTACTCTAGGCATGGTCCCTGCACCAGCCGCATCAGCACCACCTGAGAGTTTGCTAGGGATCAGAATCTCAGGCTCTTCTGGGGAGCAGGTGAATCAGAATCCCTAGGGGTGAGGCCCAGGAAGCAGCGTGTGAATAAACCCCGTGGATGATTTTTATGGACATTAAAGTGTGAACAACTGTTCTAAAGGGATGGTAGTTTCACTCATGGGAGAAGCCTGGATCCCTAAACACCGCACTGAACAGAGCCGCTCAGCTGACCTGCACTGGACTGTGATGAGCCAGCAGTCAGGGACTGTCATGGAGGCCATGTAGACTTTGGTGTCCTCTGCGCTTGTTCTGCCAGTTCAGAGCGCCAGGGGCTCCAAGGACCAGATCAAGGTGTCAGTGGCGTTATTCTGAGGCCTCCCTCCCCAGCTGGCATGGCTGCCACATCTTCACGTGGTCTCCCCTCTGTGTCCACGTCCAACTCCGCTCTTCATGGCCCACCCTACTGGTCTGCTTTAACTTAGTGACCTCTTTACAGATCCTGTCCCCAGATACAGCCTCATTTTAGGGTACTGTGTGTTGAAAGTTCAACATAGAAGGTTTGGGGGACCTAATTCAGCTCACACAGTAGGGGAGCTGACCCAGGGCCATAAAGCAAAGTTTAACCCAGAGTTCCCACTGACATTGGTGCCAGATGGCTCTCCGCTGCAGGGGCCTGTCCTGCGCTTGGCAGGAAGTGAACAGCATCTCTGGTTCTGCCCTCTGAATACAACCAAAACTGCTTCCTGAAACTGCCCAATGTCCCCCCGGCTGGGAGTCCTGAGCTAGCCCCTTCTACTGGACATGTGCGGCTGGTTCTTCATGGAGCTTCTTGTTTCCATGGGAAAGAGAAGCCTTGCATCTCTGCACACGGGAGGGAGCGCTGTGAGAACCGCAGCTTAGATGGCAGACCCGCCCTGGTGTAGACAGATGTCTGCTGGGGGAGGGGATTGGGGGAGGGAGAGCGGGAGATGTTTGACCTCCAGCAGGGAAAAGGACACAATCAATGGGAAACCACTCTGGGAGCAGAAGTGCTAGGTTCAGGGCCCAGAAAACGCAGGGATTTTAATGGCACAAAAAGCCCCATGAATCCTCTTGTCTCTTATGTCAAGCAAACACCTTTTTCACTATGGCCCACCCTCCCCCTCTTCCCGTGTACTTGGAGAAAAACCAATAGGGCTGGGAGCTCACGGAATCTGGCCCTGGTGGAGCCTCTTGTCTAGGACATTAGGCTACGCAGGCTGAAGCAGAACCGTGTTGAGGTGAGACAGCACACGGGAAGGGCTCCCGCCCTGACCCCTGCAGAAAAGACAGCCCAGGGCAGGCGTTTGGCACAGCTGTTACGATGCTGCTTGGGATGCCTGCATCCCATGTTGGAGTGCTTGGGTTTGAAGTCCCAGCTCTGCTCCTGATTCTGGCTTCCTGCTAATGCACACCCTGCGGCAGCAGATGACAGTCAGTCATACAGGAGACACAGACTGAGTTCTCCGCTCCTGGGTTCAGCCTGGCCTAGCTCTCCCTGGCTGTTGTGGACATTTGGGGAGTAAACCAGCACAGAGAAGACCTCTTCCACTCTTTCCATCAAATAAAATTGAATTAACGGCCACAAGCAGCTTGTGGTTACCATGCTACATAATGCAAGTACAGGATGTTTCCATCATTGCAGGAAGTTCTGTTGGACAGTGCTGTTCTAGAACATTCTTGGGATAGGCTTTGATTCTGCCGACTTATATAGCTTACATAGCTAGCAGGCAGCTGCCATTCTTCCCACTTCTCAGATGGAGAAACAGAAAAACAGGCACATCTCTGAGACTTGCATGGGGCAGTTGAAAGGGGCAGCGGCACTGCAGGGCACAGAGCATGGGTCCTGAGCTCCCAACTGGGCTCAGATCTTCCCTCCATCACTCATTACCTGAGCTCCAGGAGGCAGGCGCTGTACCCCCGTCTCCCACTTGAGTGGCAGGGACCAGGATACTTGGGTCATCATCGCCTGCTGCCTCCCAGGGTGAGCACTAGCAGGAAACTGCAATCAGGGGCAGAGCCTGGACCTGAACTTGGACTTGGGCGCCCCAACATGGGATGCAGACGTACCAAGCAGCATCTTACTGGCTGCTAAATGCACGGCCCTGCATGTGACGATTGAGCACCTGAAACACGGTGTGGCTGAGGAAGTGAATTTGAAACTTGGTGGATTTAAATTCAGAGCCACAGCTCTGGTAACGCTGGGGGCACTGTGAAGCCCGGCGTGGCTGCTCCCTAGGGAGCAGGGGAGGGAGTGGTGGGTGAGGAGGTCCGAGAGGCGGAGCAGGAGCCAGACTTGGCAAGGCCAAGCACAGGAGCTACACAGTTCTCTGGGTTTGTAACGAGAAGAGGCCCCGAGGCACCTGTGCTGCAGGATGGTTTGGGGCTGAAGCTCAAGATCAGTTATCGCCATCTTTGACCCTCTTGGCTGGCCAGTGAGCTTGGCTGTCCTGGGATGCCCAGGTGCAGGGATTCCTGACGGACTCTCGGGGGTAGGGGGGCATCTGGGAACGGGCACTGGTGGAGGGATGATTAAGAGAGGAGGAAAATGAAGGGACTCCCAGAGTCCCCAGACAGGGGGGCTCGCTCGGCATCGCACGGCAAGGCCATCAAGCAGGCTGAAATACCAAGGCTCTTCCAACGTGGTCATTGTCACATTAACGCTCGAGCCGCCCCCTCCGCGGACGGCGTGGCGGTGCGGGAAGGAGCATCTGGGCCGTGAGCCATTCAGGGTCCCTGACAGATGTGCCGTCCCCCCACCCCCACGCCAGCTGCAGACGCGGCCCGTCCTTTTCTTCCCCCCAGACAAGGATTGATGAGGATTCGGGAGAGCACTCAGACAGGCAGGGAAAGGCTGTGAACCTCTTCCAGGGCTGCAATTTATCTTGGGCACGGCATTCACAGCTCTTCTTACAGCCTGCATGATGTGCTGACCCGGCACATCAATCTCGTCGAATAAAATAATAATAATCCGAAAAAGGGAGCTGGACTGTAGCCAGCGCGGCATTAGTAACTGTCGCCCACACCTCGGATGGCGACCGGCCCCGCCCCTCGCCCCCAGCAGTGCCCACCCGGGGAGAAGGAAGGAAGGTGACTCTGGCAGGACATGGGGGAATCTGACGGAGACCGGGTGGGGTTCTTGTCCCTAACTCCGGGAACTCCTGTGGGAGTGAGGGCAGTCTGGCTGCTCAGAGCAAGGGTCCTGGAGTCAAGTTCAAGTCCCTGCAGAGCCACTTACAAGCTGAGTGGCCTCGGCCTATTTCCTTAACCTCTCCTGCTCTTGTTTCTCCTTCTAGGAATGTGAAGTGGTTCAAAGAGTTAAAAAGAATGATGCCGAGACCCAGATACTCCACTTCAAGCTATTTACCCGGAACTCTTCAGAGAAGGACTTGCACACAAGCATTCACAGTACAATAGCCAAAAAGTGGAAGGAGCCCAAATGCCTATCCCTGGATGAACGGCTAAGCCGACTGTGGCCTGGCACACAGTGGAATATTACACAGCCACAGAAAGGAATGGAGTACTGATGCTACCATGTGGAGGAACCTTGGGAGTATCATGCAAACCAAAGGCAGCCAGACACAAAGGGCCACCCATTGTACAGCTGCGTTCCTGGACGTGTCCAGAACAGGTGGGTCCAGAGACAGCTGCCGATCGCTGGGGAGGGGGCTGGGCAACAGGGGCTGCAGCAATTGCCTATTGGGCATGCAGCTTCCCACTGAAGTGGTAAAAATGTTTAGGAGTAGACAGAGGTGGGGGTTGCACAATATTGTGGATGTGCTAAGTGCCGCTGGATGGCTAATCGTTAATTATAAGTTAGGTGACTTCTACGTCAATTCAAAAAACACCCCAAGACTTGCAAGCCTAATGTCAGAAGGAAGTGAGCTGAGCAGAGCCCAGCCATGGGAAGGGCTCACCAGACATGGGCCACTTCTGCAGCTACCAGGATTGTCATCATGAGGTTTGTGGCCTCTGGCCTCGTGGGATTGGTAAGATTAAATGAGGGGGCCAGCGCTATAGTGTAGTGGGTAAAGCCATTGCCTGCAGTGCCGGCATCCCATATGGACGCTGGTTCTAGTCCTAGCTGCTCCACTTCCGATCCAGCTCTCTGCTATGGCCTGGGAAAGCAGTAGAAGACGGCCCAAGTCCTTGGGCTCCTGCACCATGTGGGAGACCCAGAAGAAGCTCCTGGTTCCTGGCTTCGGATTGGTACAGCTCCAGCCATTGTGGCCAATTAGGGAATGAACCAGCGGATGGAAGACCTGTCTCTCTCTCTCTCTCTCTCTCTCTTTCTCTCTCTCTCTCTCTCTGCCTCTCCTCTCTCTGTGCAACTCTTTCAAATAAATAAATAAATCTTAAAAAAAAAAAAAAGATTAAATGAGATAATGTCCTTGGGAGGCCGTGAACACTGTGAGGATGAGGGTTTTTGTCTACTTCGCTCTCTGCTGTATTCCCAGTGCCTAGAACAGAGCCCGGCCCATTGCTGGGAATTCAACAAGAACTGCTTGAACAAACAGCACTGCTACACACCCTGCCTGGCCTCTGGTCACTGCTAGCAGTATTCAGCTGTGTTCGTAACTCCTGGTTTCTTGTGGTTCATAACTCCTGGTACCCCCTTGTGGTCTCTTCTGGCTCAGAGAAATGAGTGCTACTTTGCTTGTGGATTTCTGTGACTTCAGGACAGAAGTGTGTAGACACCTGCCAATTATAAGCAGTTTGATCTGCTAAAAGAGGAGGTGGTAGGAATTAGTACAGCCGGCTGAACTATCCAGCATCCATCCATGTAATTAATACCTACTTGCCCACCAATTCACCCATCTAAAAACCTTCTCATCCAGCCATACAAGTTAACCTGTCCACCTATGTACGCATTCACTCATCCGCCTGCCAATTGTCTGTCTGTCTCTCTCACACACAAACACACACACAATCTTACCATATGCAATGGATGCCTGTGAGTGTATCACAGAGGCAGGTGACTCACCCACAAATGAGCTGCGTTCCTTTCCTGCTGTCATGGAGGCAGCACAGTGGGGAACGAGCAATTACCGTCAGGGTGGTGTGGGCCAGACCTGGGAGCCCAGGATGAAGCTCCTGGCTCTTGGCTTTGGCCTGGCCCAGCCCTGGCCATTGTGGACATGTGGGGAGTGAACCAGGGGACGGAAGATTGGTCTCTTGATCTCTCTCTCTGTCTGTCTCTCCCCTTCTCTCTCTTTCCTTCTTCCTCTCTGTAACTCTGCCTTTCAAATAAACAAATCTTTTTTTTTTTTTTTAAGATTTATTTTATTTATTTGAAATACAGAGTTACAGAGAGAGGTAGACAGAGAGGTCTTCCATCTGCTGGTTCACTCCCCAGATGGCCACAATGGCCGGAGCTGCACCAATCTGAAGCCAGGAGCCAGGAGCTTCTTCCAGGTCTCCCATGTGGGTGCAGGGGCCCAAAGACTTGGGCCATCTTCTACTGCTTTCTCAGGCCATAGCAGAGAGCTGGAAGGGAAGAGGAGCAGCCGGGACTAGAACCAGCGCCCATATGGGATGCTGGTGCTTCAGGCCAGGGCTTTAACCCACTGCGCCATAGCGCCAGTCCCAAATAAACAAATCTTAAAAACAAAAACAAGTGCCAACCCTGCAGCAGGGACAGGAATTGGTCAAGACGTACGAAAGGCAGAAGGGTCTTTGAGGCAGATGGGCCAGCAGGCACAGCAGGCAGGAGACAGGAAGGCACACAGCCGACTCTGAAACCTACTCTGAGAGGTGGTGGCCAGTTAGCGTTTCAGCGTCTCAGTTTTCTCATCTGGGAAACGGGATAAGATAAGCAACTGCCATAGGGCGATACTGTCAACACGGGAAAGTTAAAGAGTAAAGGAAATGAAAGAAGTAGAGCCCAGCTGAAGCGCTGAGACCAGAGGGTGGGAGGCAGGGAGGGAGTGCAGTGAGTAAGGGTGCTGGCCAGGAAGGTGGGCCTGGTGGAGGCTGCACAGCCTCCCCTGCCTCCCCCCAGGTGAGAACAACCCACCTCACATTTCGTCCAGGCACATCCATCAAGCCCTTTTGCCTATGGCATCTCAACAAGAGTAGCATCTCCATTTCCTGCAGGAGGAGGCAGGCTCAGCGATGGTAAGTGATTTGCTGAAGGCCCCATGGCTGCAGAGCATCAGGGTGGGACTGGCCCAGAGCCCCCAGCCTCTGCTCCACCTGCCAGATCATCCGGAACAAGAAGTGGCCGTGGCCTTGGGTGTTCAAAGACAGATTGTTATGCTGATTCTGGGGCTAACTGGCTCAGGGCTTTTTAGACAGATGAAATAATGACCCCTCAAAGAGACCAGTCCTAATGCTTGGGCCCTGTGAATGAACCTTCAGAAAAAAGGGTTTTGCAGGTGCAAGGGACTGAACGGTGTTGGCCTAGATGATTGGTGGTGTTGGCCTAGATTATCGGAGTGGGCCCTAAACACAGGCCCATGTATCCTTATGAGAGAGGCAGAGGGAGACGTCACTCCCAGGAGAGGACAAGGTGATGTGACTTGGGAATGGAATGGCCATAAGCTGGGGAAAGCTGCCTGACACCTGAGGCTGGAAGAGGCACAAACAGGTCCTCCCCTGGGTCCCTGGAGACAGGGAGTCCTGCTCACACCTGATTTCGGCCCAGTGATCCCGCCTCTGGACTCCTGGCTTCCAAACCATGAGAGAATACATTTCCCTCATTTCAAGCCACCACCTTTGTCGTTACAGCAGCCACAAAAAATGGATGCTCAGTTTTCATTCAGAATTGAGAGCCGTCCAAGAGCCAGGATAGGGAAGGAGTCCGGCCGGCACCCTGAATGTCCTAAGCGGTCAGTACCTGCCTGCCTAATCGTCCTTCCAAAGCCACTTTGAGGTGGAGTTTGAGCCTCAAGGCTGGAACGACCGAGGGCAGCATTCCAGCCCTGCCTGCCGTGCAGCAGATGTGTGGCTACAAAGGCACCCATCTGTCAGCCCGCCGACTCCTCATCCCTTAGGGAAACCAATGCTATTCACGGCAGAGAAACACCGCGAGGCTCGGTGGAGGACTTCGCCCAAAGTACTCCTAGCACCGTCACAGGTGCACAGCTGGTGCTCAATGACTGCAAGTTATTACTGTGACAGTTATTTTTCCAGGCACCACTAAGCTAGCTTCACCCACATACAGATTCACGTCTCCTGCCCTCCCTGGACAGCAGGAAGATTTCCTGGAGCAGGAGTTCGGGGCAGTGGTCAAGGTGCCTTTCAGGATACCCACATCCCATATCAGAGTCCCAGCTCAACTCCCAATTCCAGCTTCCTGCTAAAGCACTATGGGAGGCAGCAAGTGATGGCTCAAGTAGTCGGGTCCCTGCCACCCACATGGGAGGCCTAGATGGAGTTCCTGGCTCCTGGCTTCAGCCTGGCACAGCTCTGGGCATAGTGGGTATTTGGGGAGTGAGCCAGCAAGTGGGAATCCTCTCCCTATCTGTCTGTCTCTTTCTCTCTGCTTTACAAAAAAAATGCAAAAATAAACAATATTTCCTGTCGTGTTTCCATCTGCAGCTGCAGACCAGAGGGCAAAGGGCAGGGACTGAGTCTAGCGCCCCTTTCTCTTGTGCGTCCCCACTATCCCCGCACGCAGGTCTGCCTGACACTGTCCAAGATGTCTGGACACACTGGGGCCAGGGGGAGGCAGAAGGGAATTTAACAATCACACGGATGAGTAACGACAAAGCCCCACAAAGCTTCGAAGGACAGACCAGGCCTCAGGCAGGAGGGTCTAGAACTGACTGTGTTTTGAGTAGAAGCTTCAGAGGTCAGCAGCCACTGGAGAAGCAGCGTCGCCATGGATCTGGAGGGCGTGCGCAAGGAGCTGGGACCGGAGGGAGAAGGGCGCAGGCACGCAACGCAGAGCGCGGCTGGAGGTGCTGCTGAGGGGGAGGGCGGGCCCTGCAGCCGGGTCTATGGAACTTGACCTTGCTCATAGCAGGGTTTGGGATGGGCAGAAGTGAGAAGTGTTGGGCAGGAACACGCAGCTGAGCTGTTTTCTACCAGGTGGCTCCGCTGCCTATTGTGAGATATACAATGTATTTTTATTTACCATACAAGGGTACTTCTAAAAAGTTCATAGGAAAATGGAATTAAAAGTCTGTTTTGGTGCAAAAAATATTTGGAAATCTGTGCACAGATTTTTTTCATAACGTGCATCTTCCATGCTGCACTGATCTGAAGCCAGGAACGAGGTGCTTCCTCCTGGTCTCCCATGCAGGTGCAGGGCCCAAGCACTTGGGCATCCTCCACTGCCTTCCCGGGCCACAGCAGAGAGCTGGCCTGGAAGAGGAGCAACCCGGACAGAATCTGGTGTCCCAACCGGGACTAGAACCCGGGGTGCCGGCGCTGCAGGCGGAGGATTAGCCTAGTGAGCCGCGGCGCTGGCTTCTTCCATGGTTTTTTAAAACCATGAGCAGGGAAGAGCGAGCTCCCATCTGCTGGTTCACTCCCACATGGAGCTGGGAGCCGGGAATGCACTCCAGAGCTCCCACGTGGGAGGAGGAACCCAGCTCCATGAGCCACCACTGCTGCCTCCCTGTGCAAAGCAGGAGGCTGGAGTCAGAAGCGGAGCTGGGATTGAACTCAGGCACTTTGATATAGGATACAGGCATCGTATCTGGCATCTTAACTGCTGGGCCAAATGCCCGCCCCTCTGGGAACTTTTGGATGACCCCTCTATGTATGGGATTTCAGTTTTCTTTGGCACCAAAATGAACCAGTTTCCATTTTCCAGGAAGTCTGGGAGTCCCCTCGCCGGCAGTCACCCTACTGCCATACAGATCACTAGAGTTACTCCTGCTGTGTAGCTTTGTACCCACTGACCCCTCCCTGCCTCCACCATCTGGTAATCATTAGTCTATCTCTACTTCCAAGAGACAGGCTTTTCAGATTGCACGCAAGAAAAGAGGACTTTGAGCATCTTGCCATAAAGAAGTGCTGAGTGCTGGAAGTCGTGGGTGCACTGTTACTCAGCTCCGGTCTTTGCACAAGGTTACTGCAGTGTCACGTTGTGCCCCATACACCTGTACACTATCACAGGTCCACCGAAAATGAAGGCCGCTCCGGCCGCAGGGAAGAGAGTGAAGCAGAGAAGGTTGGAGAGACCAACAGAGGGAGACTGCTTGGTGTCACAGTGCTGAGGACAAAGGTGGTGGTGCTGGAGACACAGATGGCAGACACACTCTACATTGTTTAAGGTGAGAAAGTCATCAGAGCTTGATTATGGGGGCTGGCGCTGTAGTGCAAGCGGGTTAATGCCCTGGCCTGAAGTGCTGGCATCCCATATGGGCGCCAGTTCAAGACCCGGCTGCTCCACTTCCGATCCAGCTCTCTGCTATGGCCGGGGAAAGCAGTAGAAGATGGCCCAAGTCCTTGGACCCCTGCGCCCAGAGGAAACTCCTGGCTCCTGGCTTCGGATCGGTGCAGCTCCACCACGTTGTGGCCAACTGGAGAGTGAACCATCGGATGGAAGACCTCTCTCTCTCTCTCTCTGTCTCTGCCTTTCCTCTCTCTGTGTAACTCTGACTTTCAAATAAATAAATAAATATTTAAAAAAAAGAACTTGGTTATGGACTGGAAAAAGCAAGGGAAGAGGAGGAAGACAAACCAAGGTCACTCCTAGTTGCTGACCTGAGCAAGCGGCAGATGGAGGGGCAGCCCTCTGAGATGCAGAGCAAGGGGGAGGCCCAGGCTTTGAGGCAGCTCCCAAGTTCATTCTTGGCAATCAGTCCACTGTGCCTCGTTCCTTTGTCTGCCTCAACCCCAGCAATGCTGACAGAGCCTTCCTCAGGAGGCCATATTTTAGCTTACTTGAAATCACCCCCTCTTGGCCAACAGCTGATTGGATAAAGGGTGGCCACATGACCCTCACACCCCCCACAGTCCAGCTGGTGGAAGATGGGGACTGGGCCCAGGAGTGTGCATGAGCTGCAGAATGCTAAGAGGACAAGTCATGTGACGGTGGCTCTGGTAGGTGGCAGACCATGAGCCACACCACAGCCAGGGAGGTTCCATTTTGGTATACCAGGACTGAGAAAGGCTTGTCACCTGTCCGAAGTCACACAGCCACAGAGGGGCATAGCTGGGGCCTGAAGGTGGCTGTGTCTGGAGCCCATGTCCACAAGTATAACCATTAGCAGCACTGCTTCCCACGGCCTAGTACATGGTGGAGTGTCATGGGACACTGCACAGGCTTGGGGATGGTGATGGTGGTCTTGGAGGTCAGATAAGGGCATCTTAGGACCACTGCAGGCCCACTGTTTCCCCTCTCCATTTCCTCTTCCTCCAAGCAATGCCTGGCATACATTCTGAGCTTTCTGACCTTGAAATATGTGGATTTTCCCTCTTTAACCCACCTGCCTTGGTCACCTTTCAGAAGCACTGGCAGTTCTTATAACCCACAGGTGATATCTTGTCCTAGGCCAGCTCAGTCCTCGGCACCCCATTGGCTACTCCCCAAGACCTCTCCATCCCAAAGCGGGAATGCAGGCCTTCCCCAAGGTAGTACCATTGCTACTGCTTGTCCCACCTGGGTCCCTGGCAGACATTACTAATCGATCACAGAGCTCTTTCCTCCTGAGCCTAGGTACCTTTTACAAAATGAGATCCAGGCATCACAAACAGTTGAAAACCTGTTAGGCCCCTTCCTCCTTGGGAGATATAGGGCATTTCACATGTTTTTTTCCTTTCTCAGGTGACATTTCAAGGAAGCTATGGTTTGGATGTGGTTTGCCCCTCAAGGACTCACATGTTGGGAGCTTGGTTCCTGTTGCGGCAAATGTTACGACATGGTGGGACCTTTAAGGGGTGGGGCCTAGTAGAAGGTCATTAGGTCAGGAGATGACTGGGGACTCTGCCCTTGGAAGGGATTAAAGTTGTTCTCATGGGACGCTCAATCATTTTCATAGGAGGGCTGTATAAAAGGAGCAAGCCTGACCTCGCCCCAGCTTCTGGTCCTCACCCTGTGATATCTTCCTTTCACACTGCACCTGCTGTGATGACACTCCCACAGTGGGAGCAGCCAGGCTGGCCTTGGCAAGAGCTGGCACCATGCAGTATGGACCTTCAGCCTCTGCCGTAGCGAGCCAAGCAAACCTCCTTTCTTCATATCCATCTAGTCTCGGGTGCTTACTTATAGCCACACACATGGACTGACACAGATGACAGCAGTATCCAGGGCAGCTCTGAGCAACAGAACCCAGGAGATGAACTTGGAGGGTGGCGGTGGGACAAGAAGGAAGGAGGACAAAGAGCCAAGCTCGGCCTCCAGGAACCAGGAGGTGGGTGGCAGGTGCCACTGGCTCTGGTTCTGTGTATTCCACGCAGTGGCATCAGCGCTGCCTTCACCCATCCCCTCCTCTCCCAGAAGATGCCCTGAATCCCCTGGAGAATAGGTGCGAGTGGGGCCACCTGCAGCCACACCCAGTGCCTACCTTGGACTTGACAGCCAGGATGATCTTGGGCAGGGCCACGATGAGGCACTTGAGGGCGATGGTGATGTATTTCAGCACAAAGTCGGCAATCCCCACGATCCACAGCAGGTCGAAGAAGTCTAGAGTCTCCAGGTTGGGCTTCAGGAAGATGAGGCTGTCGGGGGGATTCAGAAAGTCAGCACGTTCAGTGAGTGCCAGGCCCGCACTCGGGAGTCCCACAGATGTCACCTGCGGAGGGGACACTGAACTGCACACCTGTGCCTGCTCCCGAGCCTGCTACTCACCTGCCATGGGTCCTCTGGTGGGTCTCTTAACCTCACTCAGCCTCAATTCTCTTGAGAGTTAAGTGACCAGATTGACTGTGAACATCATTAAGCGCCCCTCCAGATTCTAGGCGTCCACAGCAGGCTTTATCAGAGGTAAAAGGAAGGACAGAGGGAATCTGATACATCAGGCATTGTGCTAAGCTCTTTAAAAAAATTAATTTGGGGGCCAGCATTGTCTATCAGCAAGTTAAGCCTCCACCTTCCACACTGGCATCCCACACAGATGTCAGTTCAATTCCCAGCTGCTCTACTTCCAATCCAGCTCCCTGCTCATGCGCCTGGGAAAGCAGCAGAGGATGGCCCATGTGTTTGGGTCCTTGTGCACATGTGAGAGACCCGGAAGAAGCTCCTGACTCCTGGCTTTGGCCTGGTCCAGTCTGGGCTGTTGTGATCATTTGGGGAGTGAACCAATAGATGGAAGATCTGTCTCTGTAATTGCTTTTTTTTTTTTAAGATTTATTTATTTACTTGAAAGTCAGGGTTACACAGAGAGAGGAGAGGCAGAGAAAGAGGTCTTTTATTCGCTGGTTCACTCCCCAAGTGGCTGCAATGGCCGGAGTTGCACCGATCTGAAGCCAGGACCCAGAAGTTTCTTCTGGGTCTCCCACGCGGGTGCAGGGGCCCAAGGACTTGGGCCATCTTCTACTGCTTTCCCAGGCCATAGCAGAGAGCTGGATTGAAAGTGGAGCAGTTGGGAGTTGAACCAGCGTCCATATGGGATGCTAGCACTGCAGGTGGCAGATTTATCCACTTCTGTTACTATTTTACTAAAAAGGCCTTTCTAATCCTTTCTCTTTCCCCACCTTAGGAACTCCTAGAACCCATATGCTGAGTCATTTGATAATATCCTGTAGATTCCCAACAGTGTTTTTTAGTTTTCTAATTTCTTATTCTTGCTTTTGGTCTGACTGTATAATTTCCTGTGTTTTGTCTCCTAAGTTGGATATTCTTTCTTCGCTTCACCGATTCTGTTGTTAAGGCTCTCCATTGTTTTTTTATTTGTTCCACTGAATTCCTCATTTCCAAGATTTCATTTTGATTTCTCTTTAAGGTCTCAATTTCGTGGGAGAAATTTTCTTTCATGTCATGTTTGGATTTCATTAGTTTGTACATTTGCTTCTCCTTCTTTTTTTTTTTTTTTTTCTACAGGCAGAGTTAGACAGTGAGAGAGAGAGAGTGAGAGAGAGAGAGAGAGAGAGAGAGAAAGAGAAAGATCTTCCTTTCGTTGGTTCACCCCCCCCCCCCAAATGGCCGTGCTGCGCCAATCCAAAGCCAGGAGCCAGGTGCCTCCTCCTGGTCCCCCATGCAGGTGCAGGGCCCAAGCACTTGGGCCATCCTCCACTGCCCTCCTGGGCCACAGCAGAGAGCTGGACTGGAAGAGGAGCAACTGGGACAGAATCCGGTGCCCCAGCTGGGACTAGAATCCGGAGTGCTGGCGCCGTAGGCGGAGGATTAGCCAAGTGAGCCACGGTGCTGGCCATGCATTTGCTTCTGATTACTTCTCAGTAATCCTATGATCAATTTTTTTGAATCCCATTTCTGGGATTTCTTCAATCTCTTCATTTTCACAATCCAGTATCGAGGTGTTGTGTTCTTTTTGGGGTGTCATGTTGTCTTCCTTATTCTTATTTCCTAGACTGGTGTGTTTGTATTTGGCATTTGTGGGGATACTCATTGGTTTCTTCTTTGTTTCTTCGCTGTGGTGGCTTTTATCTTTGGACTATGTCTGACTGGATTAGTGGAGTGTCTGCTTTCAGGGACTACCTAGAGGTGTGTGGTGGGAGTGGCCAGGGAGCTCTGTTCAGTGCCCCAGGGTGAAGGTGTCTGAGGTGACACACCCAGGTTTGGCAAGGTAAATATATATATATATATATATATATATATACATATTTTTTTTTTTCAGGGGAGGTGTTTTGTTGTCTGTTGGCATAGACTCAGCTGAGCTCCTCACCTTGAAGGAAACTGGTGCCTGGACACTAGCCTCTGTGAGTATATGATTTGTCCACTCTGCCACAAGGACCACACAAAGATGCTACCAGACATCTAAAGAAGAACTAACTAACTCCACTTCTCAAGTTATTCAAAATAATCAAAAGGGAGGGAATACTCCCAAATTATTTCTATGAAGTCAGCATCACCTTAATTCTAAACTTGAAAACAATACAACAGAGAAAGAGTACAGGCCAGGTTCCCTGATGAACACAGACGCAAAAAATCCTAAACTAAATTCTGGCCAACTGAATCCAACAACACACCAGAAAGGTCATTCACCCAGACCACGTGGGAGTTATCCCTGGTATGCAGGGATGGTTCAACATTCACAAATCAATGTGATACACCACTTTAACAAACTGCAGAATAAAAACCATATGATTATCTCAATAGATGCAGAGAAAGCATTTGATAAACTACAACACCCTTTCATGATGAAAACTCTAAGCAAATTGGGTATAGAAGGAACATTCCTCAATACAATAAAGGCAATTTATGAAAAACCAATAGTGTCCTATTGAAGGGGGAAAGTTGGAAGCATTCCCACTGAGATCTGGAACCAGAAAAGGATGGGCAAAAAAGAAAGAGAGAGAGAGAGAGAGAGAGAGAGACAGAGATCTGCCATCTACTGGTTTTCTCCCCAAATGCCTGCAAGAATCAAGAGCCAGGCCTGGACCAGACCAAAGATGGATCCGGGAACTCCATCTAGGTCTCCCACAAGGGTGGTAGAGACCAAACTACGTGAGCCATCATGTGTTGCCTCCCTGTGTGCATTAGCAGGAAGCTGGAATTAGAAGTGGATCTGTGGCGGCGAAGGTGGCGGGGGTGCTATGGCATAGTGGGTTAAGCCACCGTCTGCAGTACCAGCATCCCATATTGGCACTGGTTTGAGTCCCAGCTGCTCCACTTCTGACCCAGCTCTCTTCTATGGCCTGGGAAAGCAGACAAAGATAGCCCAAGTGCTTGGGTCCCTGTACCCATGTGGGAGACCCAGAAGAAGTTCTTGGCTCCTGGCTTCAGATGGGCCAGCCCCAGCCATTGTGGCCATTTTGGGGAGTGAACAGGTGGATGGAAGACCTTTATTTCTCTGTCTCTGCCTCTCTATAACTCTGCCTTTCAAATAAATAAATAAATAAATAAATAAAAAGAGATGGAACTGGGACTCAAACCCAGGTACTCAGGATGCAGATAGCCAAGTGATATCTTAACTGTTACAGCAGACACCTGCCCAGCTCAGTATTTTTGATCTGTGGCTGGCTGAATCCACGGATGGGGCGCCTACAGACACAGATGGCTAACTGTCCTGCATTAAATAAAATCGTTTGTTAAAAGTGATTTCTTCTGTTTCCTTTTAGTTTTCTTGATGTGGCAACTAGAAAGTGTCAACTTACCTATGTGGCTTGCATTGTATTTTTATCAGAGAGAGTTGCTATGGGCAAGTGTGTGCCCCAACAGGAAGGTGGGATCTGAAAGGTGCAATGTGACACAGAGCTGGTGCACCGTTCTTCCCAAGCGAAGGGTGTGTGCCCCAAGCCCAGCAAAGCCCCCCAGCCCTGCTGGGGTTGGTGTCAGACTCCCCTCCTTACCTGTTATACAGCTGCTGGGAACTGAAGGTGTAGAGGACATACAAGGTGTTCCCCGCCAGGAAGGCCAAGATCCACAAGATGACCAGCACTGACCTCTTCTCCTGGAGACAAAGCGAGAGATATCTATGGGGACACTGTGATGCCAAAGGCACACACGATGGAATGTTCCAGAATGTTCTCTGTTGACCTTTAACTTTCCAGTTTCTTAAAGCTTTGGAGGAAGCTGGGCTTACAGTGAAGGGAAGGGCACTGGCATCTTTCCATCCCACTGGAACCCAAGGGGTGGAGAGGGGGGTAAGGGTGGACACCGTCTTGGAGAACCATCTGGAACGACTAGAAAGCAGTGTGGCACACAGCACAGACTCCACAGCCAGACAGCCTGGATTCAGATCCTCCGTCTGCAGCTGGGGAGCTGTCCAGTCTCAGGCAAGTGCATTCTCCTTGCACATCTGTACATAGGAGAGCACTTCACCAAGTTCAAGGGAAGATGGCGTTAAAAGTATGAGTTTAAGGGCAGGCATATGGTGCAGTCATTAAGATGTCACTTGGGATACTCACGTCCCATATCACCACCTGGTCTGAGTCCCTGCTCTGCCTCTGATTCCAGCTTCTGGCTAGCGTGCACCTTGGGAGGCAGCAGGCAATGACTTGAGTAGCTGGGTCCCCACCCACGTGGGAGAACCAGACTGAATCTTCTACTTCTTTTTTTTTGTTTTTTAGATTTCATTTTATTTATTTGAAAGGCAGAGTTACAGAGAGAGAGGTAGAAGGAGAGAAAGAGATCTTCCATCTGCTGGTTCACTCCCCAAATGGTCTCAACAGCCAGGACTGGGCCAGGCTGAAGCCAGGAGCCAGGAGCTTCACCCAGGAATCCCAAGTGGGTACAGGGGCACAAGGACTTGGGGCCTCCTCTGCTGTTTTCCCAGGCACATTGGAAGTGGAGCAGCCAGGACTCAAATCAGCACCCGTATGGGATGCTGGCATTGTAGGTGGTGGCTTACCCTGTTACACCACAATGCCAGCCCCAAGTTTTCAACTTCTGGCTTCATCTTGACCCAGTCCTAGCTGCTGTGGGCATTGATGGGAATGGACTTGCAGAGGGAAGATCTGCTTCTGTCTTTCAAATAAAATGAAAATAAATAATACATCTTTAAGAAGTAAAAAAAAAAGTATGAGTTTATTTTGAAACAAAAAGATTTTTAAGCTTTGCATAGGTTTTTCATAATATACATTTTCCATATAGTATAAGAAAAACTTTGTGAACACACACATAAAAATAAACACATCCAGGGGCCGGTGCTGTGGCACAGTGGGTTAACGCCCTGGTCAGAAGTGCTGGCAACCTATATGGGCGCCAGTTCTAGTCCTGGCTGCTCCTCTTCCAATCCAGCTCTCTGCTGTGGCCTGGGAAAGCAGTAGAAGATGGCCCAAGTCCTTGGGCCCCTGCACCCACATGGCAGACCTGGAAGAAGCTCCTGGCTTCGGATCAGCGCAGCTCTGGCCATTGCAGCCATCTGGGGAGTAAACCAGCAGATGGAAGACCCCTCTCTCTCTCTGCATCTCCTCTCTGTGTAACTCTGAACTTCAAATAAATAAATAAATCTTTTTTTAAAAAAATAAACACATCCATTTAATTCCATTTTCTCTGAACTCTTTGAAGTCCCCTGGTATTACTGTCTGCCTTCCAGAACTGTGAGGATTAATGTACATCAGTGCTTCCTGGAGGGACGCCCAGCGAGTGGCAGTCGCAGTTCACATTTCCTGTCAGCAAATGAGACACACAGAAATTAGATAATTCTTGCTCAAGGGCACACGTGCTAACCCTTAGTGTCCTCATCTGAAAACGAGGGTGTGACTGAGGATTAGGTCAAATTAATAAATCTAAATATTCAGGGGCTGGCGCTGTGCTATAGCACTATAAAGCCACTGCCTGCATTGCTGGCAGCCCATGTGGGTGCCGGTTCGAGTCCTGGCTGCTCCACTTCCAATCCAGTTCTCTGCTATAGCCTGGGAAAGCAGTAGAAGATGTCTCAAGTCCTTGGGCCCCTGCGCCTGCGTGGGAGACCCGGAAGAAGCTCCTGGCTCCTGGCTTTGGATCAGCTCAGCTCTGGCTGTTGCAGCCAATTGCGGAGTGAACCAGCGGATAGAAGACCTCTCTCTCTCTGCCTCTCCTTCTCTCTCTGTAACTCTTTCAAGTAAATAAATAAATCTTTTAAAAAAATAAAATAAATATACAGTCTATGGTGGGCATTTGGCCTAGTGGTTAAGATGCCTGCGTCTCACTTCACAGGGCCTTGATTTAATCTCTGGTTCCAGCTCCTGACTCAGATTCCCGCTTATGCACAACCTGGAAGGCAGAAGTGACAGCTCAAATAATCGGGCTCCTGCCACCCGTGTGGAGACCTGGATTCAGTTCCCAGCTCCAGGCTTCGGCCTGGCCTCGTCACAGGCATTGCAGGCACACGGGCAGTGAGACAGTGAGTGGGAGTTCTTTCTCTCCATTTAACTCTCCCCTTGCCTATCCACTTGCCTATCCAATAAGCAAACGTCTGGCGTGGTACAGACACACATCAGGTTTACACCGCGTAGGACCTACGACTAGGTGTCTCCAGCCCGGCAGTAGACTCAGTGCTCGAAACTTCTGTGCTGGAAACTTCTGTGCTGGCTTTTTCTAGCACAGACATCTATGCCACCACCCCGCACTGATCCTGCTCGCTGTAGGGCCACCCTGATGGGATCAAACTCATGCACAAGGCCATCAGCACCCGTCATAATCCAGCCCTCTCTCTCTTTTGCTAGCCTCACTCCGACTTAGTTCCTGGGGAGAAAAACCAGAAGCCATTCTCCGTTTGCTGCAGCTTCTGGGCGAGTGAGCGATCGCAGGAACTGTCCGGATGGGGCTGCAGCAAGGGTGCGCTCCAGCCCGAGGACCCCTCTGCTGCTGATCTTCATAAAGCTTGTCTTTTCCTGGACCGGGCGGCTACATTGCTGGAACAAGATGAGGTCATAACTTTCCCAGGGTAACCTTCCTTGCGGTTTCGGTAAATTCTCAATACATGCTGTCTCCAGACACAGCTCAGCGCCCCGCGCCCTGTTTGGATGCACATTTCCAAAGAGCGGACTAAACAAATGCATCTCTATGTACCCATTATGCCAGGAGCGGTCAAGGTTAACGACTCTGAAAACCAGCTGCAACCAACTGCCTGCTCTTATCAATGTGATTAATCCACTCAGCAGCCCTTTTGCCTCAATCAATAATAGATTCCCGTTTGATTCTTTGCAGATTCAAAGGAACCGGGCGACAGAGAGGGAATGAGCAAAGCCCCGAGAGGACAGACTCAGAAAGACAAAAGGGGCAGCGCTCAAGTATAAAGCTCAGGTGCCGTGCAGACCCTTCTCTCAGAAAATATGCACACGTGGGCAACACACACCCGTGTCTTCCTAGGAGTCAAGGCCCCCAGGAGGTCTGTCCAGGCATCCACTGGGTCCCTAAAATTTCCACATACGTTACTGCATCTGTGAGAGAGGGGCAGCTTCCAATCCTCCCTCTTGGGTGTGGAATCCACCTGCTGTCTCAGTAGTGGTAGACGGGGTTTTGCATAAGGACAATGAGCATAAGGGTCAAGAAGAGCCCCCTGGCTCTGGGTCCAACCCTGGCGCACGTGGAGACTGAGCTGCTGTCCAGGTGACACGGAGGCCCAGGTGCTTGTGAGCTCCAGAAGAGCAAGATGGGGTATCCGTCACTAGTGCAAACACGGGCTTCTACACGGCTCAATAAATGCTGCCGATAAGCCGGGCACTGTGCTAAACACCTGCTATGCAACCTCTCCTCTCATCCTCTAGATGGGCCTACAAAAGGGCACGAGTACAGGTGCCCCGACTCATGTAACAGCGCCGTCACATCCTGACAGAGCCATGGTAAGCAGAAACACAAGTCCAAGTGCATTGACCGCATCTGACCTCCTGGGCCTCCGAGCTCGGCAACAAGCGCGCCGTCCACAGCTAGGTGTTTCCCTCATGACTGCAGTGCTGACTGGGAACTGCCGCCACCTCGCACCCCAAAGAGGATCATCCGGGGTATCGCCAGCCCGGGAAAGAACCAAATTCCTAACTCAAAGGATGGCTTCCACTGGATACCTTCAGTTATACACAATCATAAGATTGCAAAGTCTAAGCTGGACCACCATTAAGTCAAGACCGTATGTAGTCTCTCTTCTAGGGGAACACCTGAGATGACCAAGGTAACCCACCTGTGGGCTTGCAGTTTTGGGGGGGAGGCTGGCATTTCAGCTTGGAATGAGCAGTCTCTCAACTGCCTGGGTTCGAATCCTGATGTCACCACTGACACCAGCTGTGACCTCAAGCAGGAAACTTAGCTTCTCTGAGCCACAGTTCCATCATTAGGAAAGTGAAGTCAGAATGATTCTGTCTCCTCCAGGTTGCTGGGCTGAGTCTACAGGATGAGATGAAGAAGGGGCTCAGGGCTGTGCTGGCGGCAGAGAACACTGCGGACGGTGGCGGCATCAGCAGGAGGAAGGCAGCCCTAAGCCTGATGTGGGTTGCGAGTGAGCTAATGAGTTCAATGTCAGGAGGGCAAAGGGGCTGGTCTGGGGCACGTGGAGGAGAGGCTGGAGGGACTGGTCTCTATGGGGCACAGCAGAGCGGGAGGGGTAGCAGGAGAAGGCGTTCCCAAGATGCCCAAGATGCATGCTTTCCCGAGAAGCCTACACTCTGACCCTTGGAGCCTGTGCCTGTGTGAGCGACTCCCTGGCCAAGGGGTAAGAAGACAGCATCAGTTAGGAGTCAGCCCGAGCTGCCTGCATGACCCAGGCAGGCTGGGATAATCACAGGAGCCCTTACACATGGAAGAGGGAGATGCAAGTATGGAAGGACATGGAAGGCTGCGGACATGCAACCCCACTGGCCCAAAGCAAGAGGAAGAGGTCAGGAGCCAAAGAGACCAGCAGGGAGATGCTCCCCTCGGGCCTGCAGAAGGAATGCGGCCCTGCTGGCCTTGGTCTTGGCCTGCAGACTTCCGCCCTGCGGAACCGCCGGGTGATGAGCACGTCCTGTTGGCACCGCTGAGCCTACAGCCATTTTTCCCAGCAGCTGTGGAGACTCACCTTCAGGGAGACCTGCTCGCGGAGCGTGGAGTTGGCATAGGCGAAGGTGCTGGCCATCCCGATGCACACAGCAATGCCTGCGGGACAGAGGAGGGCTCAACACCACCGGCTCAGACTCATCAGGCCCGGCCCAAGTCTGTGAGCAACGTTGGCGAGGGACACATCCGGGTCCCCTGGGAGTCCACAGACGAGGGAGAAGATCCTACTTCTGGGGGTCTAGTTCCTGCATGAACCACTGGGGGCCCTGAGCCATTCTGGCTGAGGGGCGGGGTGAGGCCACTGGGGGCTATTTCATGGCACCAGGATGGGAACACAGCCTGGACAGGCTGGCAAGACCTGGCTTCAAACTCCAGTCCTGCCACCTCCTCTCTGTGTGAGCCTGGGCAAGTCACTGCCCCTGTCTGGGCCTCAGTCTCCTCATCTGTGAAATGGACAGAATAACACCAGTCCTTACCTAGTGGAGGGATAACACTTACAGAACATCATCTGATTATTTCTACTTTGTTTTTAAAGATTTATCTATTTATTTGAAAGACAGAGTGACAGAAAGAGAGCAAGCAAGAGAGACCTTCTAACTGCTGGTCCACACTTCAGATGGCTGCAACAGCTGGGGCTGGGCCAGGCTGCAGCCAGGAGCCGAAAACTCAGGTCTCCCAGGTAGGTGGCAGGGACCCAAGCACTTGGGCCATCTGCTGCTGGCTTTCCCAGGCGCATCAGCAAGGAACTGGATCGGAAGCAGAGCAGCCAGTACCGGAACTGGCACTCCAACGTGGAGGACGCCAGTGCTCTGAGCACAGCTTGACCTGCTGCACCAAACACTGACCCCTCTCCTTTTTCTAATTAAAAAGTTTATTTTTATTTACATGGAAGACAGAGAGACAGAGAGAGAGGTAAGAGATATGGATCTTCCCTCCGTGTCAGTCTAGGGGCTGGAAATTCAGTCTGAAGCTCCCCTGTGGGTGGCAGGGACCCGAGTCCTTGAGCCATCAGTGCTGCCTCCCAGGGGGCGCATCAGCAGAAAGCTGGAATCAGAGGTGGATCCAGACTCACACCCAGGCACTCTGATATGGGATGCAGGCGTGCCAAGGGATGGCTTAACATGTGCTAAACATTCACCGCTATTTCTACTTCCAAAACAGAGTCTGAGGTGTGTTATTTGCAATAAAAAACAGAAAAAGCGCACAACACCATAAGGAAATAAAATTGAACGTTAAAGGGGAAAAAAAATCCTGGCTAACAGGCAAACATGACCCAGGCAGATGGGGGAACGGAACTGAATTTTATTCCACAACTCATTTAATTGCTACTGTTTGCCAAACTACAATCTTGGAATTCTTCTTGAATACTGATTTTCAAATGCTACTTTTTTTTCTTTGTAGAGAGGATTCTGTTTTCACATGATGTGCTTGGCACTCACTCACTTTTTCAATAGTACGCATATCCAGGTATTTCAGATGTAAATATATATTACATTTTATATATTATAAATATGTATTATACTCCAGGTATAAAAATGTTTATTAAAAACATGAAATTCGAACGGGTAATGCCACAGTTGTTTTTTCCCCCTCTCCTCTTTGTTTAAAAAAGCAAACAAATGGTGCTGGATTGTGGTGCAGCAGGTTAATCTGCCCCTTGTGACACCAGCTTCCCACCCGTATCAGACCACTGGCTGGAGCCCCAGCTGCTCCACTTCTGATCCAGCTCCCCGCTGGTGCACCTGGCGGGGCAACAGATGATGGCTCAGGTGCTTCGGCTCCTGCCACCCACATGGGAGTCCTAAGTGGATTTCTGGGCTCTTATCTTCAGTCTGGCCCAACCATGGCCATTGTGGCCATTTGGGGAATGAATCAGCAGATGGAAGCTCTCTCTCTCTGTCATTGTGCCTTTCAAATAAGTAAAATGATTTTTTTAAAGCAAATCAACAACAACAACAAAAAACCCCACCAACTGACAAAGAAAATGACCACACTGCAGAGTGACAGAGAGGCGGGGGCTGTGGAGTTCCAGGCAGGGATCTGCGTGGCAGCTCCCACTTCCAGGACGTAGGGAGGGGCTGACAGGGTAGCACCCCACAGTCAGGAATGTGGGCTGATCTGTGGACGTCCCCTGTGGGAAGCAGCAGGGGCCATGGACAGTTCTCACCAGGGTTCCTGCTGCAGGACTGGCATGGCCACCCACGAGCCCTCCAGGGCATGGCCACTTCACAACCCAGTGACAGTCGGTAATGGTAACAATGCACCAGAGACCACTTAGGCAATGTGAGCCCTGCGCCACGTGCTAGGCTAAGCACGTCATGACTCAGTATCTCACTTCCGAATGAGAAGTGGTGTTTAATGAGCACTTGCTATTTGCCAGTACTAAGCCAAGTATTTTCATGTGTATTAAAACAATTGAAAATCACAAAAGTAACAATTTACACTTGCACGGTAGCCACGGTGCCAGGCGCTGTCCTCCATGCCTCACTCAGACTCAGCCTGTGATCCCATCAAGTGCAGCTGCCTGTTGGCATCCGGGAACCTCCCGAGGGTAGTGAAATCCATGGATGCACAAATCCCTTGTATGTGTCGGAACAGTACTTGTGACCAGGTCACGCCCCTTCTCCACACACTCTGTTTTCTCTAGATGACTTGTAACACCTGCTGCAAAGCCAACACTACGCATGTAGCTATTATCCTGTGTTGTTTAGGGAATAAGGCCAGGGACAGGTCCATACACGCCAAGTGCGCATACATTTTCTTTCCAAATATTTTCCATCTGCAGTGGGTGGACTCTGGATGCAGAACCTGTGACCACGGGGGGTGGGGGCAGACTGCACGTCCCATCACAACCCCCGTTTTATGGATGCTGAGGCACAGAGAGGTTCGGTATTGTTCCCAGGGTCACAGGGTGAGGAAGGGGCACAGTGGGGTGCAGGCTCCAGCCATCCAAGCTTGCTCCTGCTCCTACCAACCAAACAGCTGAACAGCTTCCTATCACTGCCCCCATTAGACAGATCAGGAAACTGAGGTTCAGAGAAGCCAAGAGACTTAACCCAAGTCACACAGCCAGCCAGATCTGAAGCCAGGTCTGCCCTTGCCAGCCCCCGCCCCCCACACACTACAGGGACCCCCTGTGTGCAGCCCCAGGCCTCACCGAGTTTATGCTGGAAGCACACTTTGGCCAAGAGGATGAGGATGAAGGGAAGCCCCTTCTGCAGCCAGCACATCACAGCCTTGAGCTCGGACAGGGCAGGCGCAGGTGTCCCCGGCTGCTCATCGCCGGCCTCCTCCGCGTGCCCGCGGTGGTCGCCGCCCACATGCTGCAGCAGGGAACCCCCGCGCGTGCCAGGGCCGTGGTGGAAGTGGTGGTGGGGCGGCCGGTGGTGGAAGGTGCCGCCCTCCTCGCGCGCCGCAGGCATCTGGATGAACACGTCGCCGCCGCTGGCCGCTGCGCCCAGCACCAGACTGGCTGGGAAAGGGCTGGCCGGCAGGCCGCCTGCGAGGCCGGAGAAGAGCGTGGGTGGGGAGGCCGCTTCTGCCTTCAGACTCTCGAAGACGCCACCCTCATCCACACTGGCCTCAGAGCTGAGCGCCTGGCTGCGATTCCTGCAGGACAGGGGCAGAGGAGTCAGGGGCGTGGCACCCCAGTGCAGGGGTGGGGGGTGGGGGCGGGGTGGGAGGGTAGGTGGGTGGGGCGCTGGCCAAGTAAGAGTAGCAATGGGGACGCCCTGCTGTGAGCCCTCAATTCATGCCTGTTTATTTGAAGGGTACAGGGACACACACAGATCTGCCATCTGCTGGCTCACTCTCCAATTGCCCCAACAGCAGGGGCTGGGCCAGGCTGAAGCCAGGAGCTCCATCCAGCTCTCCCACATGGGTAGCAGGGATCTGGGTACCTGGGCCATCACCTGGTACCTCTCAGGGTTCACACTAGCAGGAAGCTGGAGCAGACACAGAGTCAGGACTCGAACCCAGGCTCTCGCATATGGGACGTGGAGTCCCAGGTGGCCCACCTCTGGGCCAAACACCCACCCCTCAGACTGGTATGTTTACGTCCTAACCCCTGGAGACCTAAGAACAGGACCCCCTGTAGAGATGGGTGTTTACCAAGAGAACCAAAGCTTGGGCACTCACTCAGTAGGACCAGCGTCCTCAGAAGAAATTAGCTCACAGACATGCAGAGTGAGGACCTTGGGAAGCCATGGGCAGAAGATGGCATCCACAAGCCAAGGAGAGGCCTCAGAAGGACCCCCTGCCACTCACACACACCCCTGGATCCCGGCTTTCCCGCCCCCAGAACGATGAGGGAAGGACTTCCTGTGGCTGCAGCCGCCTGGTCTGCAGGACCTTGGGAGGACGGCCCCAGCGGCGCTGAACACTTGCTCCACATCAGACTCACTTTTTTTTTTTTTTTTGACAGGCAGAGTGGACAGTGAGAGAGAGAGACACAGAGAGAAAGGTCTTCCTTTTGCCGTTGGTTCACCCTCCAATGGCCGCCGCGGCCGGCGCGCTGCGGCCGGCGCATCGCGCTGATCCGATGGCAGGAGCCAGGTGCTTCTCCTGGTCTCCCATGGGGTGCAGGGCCCAAGTACTTGGGCCATCCTCCACTGCACTCCCTGGCCACAGCAGAGGGCTGGCCTGGAAGAGGGGCAACCGGGACAGAATCCGGCGCCCCGACCAGGACTAGAACCCGGTGTGCCGGCGCCGCTAGGCGGAGGATTAGCCTAGTGAGCCGCGGCGCCGGCCCCACATCAGACTCACTTCTAAGTGCTCAGCTGCCCCTGACCCCCGGAATCCTCCTCTCCACCCTGGCAGTAGGTGCTAGTGAGACCCCCGCTTTACAGGCCGAGCAGGTGAGACCCCGTGGAGACTGGGCGAGGCATGGAGCGGGCAGTGCAGACCCAGGCGGCTCACTCCAGAGCCTCCTCTCCTACCTGCTGTACGCACTGAACCCGAGCTCAGGATTCTGTGTGCTTCTGGGATAGTCTCTGGAACCCAAGGAACCCCTGGCTCTGGGACCTTCAGGTTCAGGGACTCCCAGGTCCCAAGAGGGGCACACAGGAATGGCAGGAAGAGACCCCCACGTGCACCCCAACGCCACCTTCACTAGGGGACCTTATCCTGCTGCCCTTGGTTTTCCCACCTGAAAAATGGGTGTGAAGTTCACTCAGGCCTAGAATTCCGGGGGATAAAATTGATAATGCCCTTTGCCACGTACCTGGAGCCTCCTAGATGCTCTTTCATACCTGGGAACCACACTCTCTTTTCCCAGGGAGGCACTCCGGGGCCAAATTGCCTTTTCTAGGTCCTAGCATGGGTTCTTGGGCTGGACTCAGGCAAACAACTCCAGGACTCTGTCAGAGCAGCCTGGAGTCACCCCTGTAGGAAGGGGGAGCCCAGGAGCAGATGGGGTGTCCATGGACACTGAGTCCCAGGGTTCCGGATGCCATCTTCCTTCCTTCCTTCCTTCCCTGTCCTCTTTTCCCATGGAACACTACGTGGGGATCCAGTCTACACTGCTTGATGTGCACCTGTCGGGGAGGAGGGGGGAGGCGACGTGCACCCTGCAGGAGGTCCCCCACAGCAATCTGAATACACCATGAGCTCGCTAACAGCAAGACCTGTGCTTCATTCACCCTCTGGATCCCACAACCCAGGGCACACAGTTGGTGCTTAATAAATGCACACCAGCTACTATTTCAGTCCCAAGTGAGTGAGGTTTTACGCTGCATTCATAGTTCATCCTGTGTAATCCGTTCTCTCAGAGACCAGGGAACACTTTAGAACATGTATATCCAGTGATTTCATTATCCCATCAAGGACTTCCCAGGCTGTACTCCCTCCCGTAGTCTCAAAGCCTACTGATAGGCACCGGTGTCATTCCCACTGTACAGATGAAGAAACTCGGCCGGCGCCGCGGCTCACTAGGCTAATCCTCCACCTTGCGGCGCCGGCACACCGGGTTCTAGTCCCGGTCGGGGCGCCGGATTCTGTCCCGGTTGCCCCTCTTCCAGGCCAGCTCTCTGCTGTGGCCAGGGAGTGCAGTGGAGGATGGCCCAGGTGCTTGGGCCCAGCACCCCATGGGAGACCAGGAGAAGCACCTGGCTCCTGCCTTCGGATCAGCGCAGTGCGCTGGCCGCGGCGGCCATTGGAAGGTGAACCAACGGCAAAAAGGAAGACCTTTCTCTCTGTCTCTCTCACTGTCCATGCTGCCTGTCCAGAAAAAAAAAAAAAAAAGAAGAAACTTAGACTTGGAGAGATGAACTCCCTACTCAAAGCCTGCTCCTGGAGAGAGCCGCCTTCACGGGGCTGTGCCATCCCACCCGGGTAGCCTGTGATCATCCGCCAGATTTCAGCTGAAAGCTCTCTTCTGGGGTGCAGCTTCCCCCTCTCCGGCCCCCAGACACAGAGTGCTCCCTGCTGCTGCTTCTCCCTGCACCCTCACTCACCTGCCTGGGACTGATCAGACCTCGGTTCACTCCTTATCTCTTGCTCTAGACTTGCCTGTGGCTCTCAAACCCTGGTTGCACACTGCAATCACTGGGGAGTGGGGGCTTTTGCAAGTTACAGGCGAGTCGAGCTCCCAGCTCCTAGGGTTCCTCCGAGTTCCCTGGAGATCCTAACAGGCAGTCAGCGCTGCAAGGCAGCGCTCCGGACCAGGCTGCACTGCACAAGGTCAGAGCCAGTGTTAGCTCCCTGCGCATCCCGACCACCGGCAGGTGCACCTGGCACACGGCACATGCCCACTAAACGTGGCCTGAAAAAGGGACTGAATGAACACACACTACAGACCCCGAGAAGGCCTGCAACAGGAAACAAATCAACTTTGTTTGAACCCGGTGCTTCCCAAACTTGTTTGGTGACAGGATCCCTCTGATCCATGGGAAATCTATGAAGCTCACCAGTTAAACACAGCAGGGAACTTCAGAAACCGGGCCTGAGGGTCCATTCCTCTAAACCTGGGGTACCCTGCAGATGGCTTCCCCCTCTTGTCTCCCACCACGTCTCATCCGTGCTGGCTTCCAAGGCCCAGGAAACATGCAGTCCACCTCCCTCGGGCTCTGGATAACGATGTTGGTATTAATCATGACGACAGCCATGGACACCTAGCTGCGCACTACAGGGGGCCTGGAGATTTTTTGTTTATTTTTTATTTCTCCAAGAAACAGAGCTCAGAAAGCAGGAGTCCTGGCAGGTGTCCATGCTGGCCCGGGTGGAGGCCACCTTCTCCCCGGCCCCCTACTGTCCCATGGGGCACCTCCACACGCCCTTGAACTTTCCGGTATTCTGAGTTCACTGGGCTCGGGGGATGTCAGCATGACCTGGGAAGACTCAACCCACCGAGAAGCTGTTTATAGCCGGCCTCCCCGCATCTAGCCGGGATTTCAGTCTAAATGCTCCTTGGAGGGCGCAGAGGCTCCACTTCCAATTTAACCCCTTAAGGGCTAGAGCTGGAGGCAGCCCAGAAGAAGTGGATTTGTCCATTTAGGCGGTGGGTGCCTCAAAGCACAGACTTTGGGGGACACGCGGACTGGGGCCCAAATCTCGGCCTTGCCCCTTCCTGGCTGTATGACTCCAGGTAATATACTTCCCCTCTCTGAACCTCAGTTTCTCCATCTGTACAATGGGGATTAAAAGCAGCCCTGATCTTACCAGGCTCCAGGGAGGGTGCCTCATACATGGGGTGGCCATGATTTTTCTGCTGTGGTCTCTTCCCTCAAGGATCTCCTGGTTCCCCTGAGAGCAGAGGGCAACACTGTCTTCAGAGACTGGGAAACTCTAACACTGAATGCCGGATGCTGTGTCTACACGGTCAAGTTCATTCTTTCATCAGCAGCCCTGCGTCTGATTATCTTCCATTTACAGAGGAAGACACAGAGACCCACGGGTGATGGGGAGGAAGTGGCTGTCCTGGGGTTTTGGCCAAGGGTTGTCAGACTTGAAGCCAGTGCTATTCCGAGTAGAACAGGCAGGACCAGGGCCAGCGCCGCAGCTCAGTAGGCTAATCCTCCACCTAGCGGCGCTGGCACACCGGGTTCTAGTCCTGGTCGGGGCGCCGGATTCTGTCCCGGTTGCCCCTCTTCCAGGCCAGCTCTCTGCTGTGGCCCGGGAGGGCAGTGGAGGATGGCCCAAGTGCTTGGGCCCTGCACCCGCATGGGAGACCAGGAGAAGCACCTGGCTCCTGCCTTCGGATCAGTGCGCTGCGCCACGGCAGCCACTGGAGGGCGAACCAACGGCAAAGGAAGACCTTTCTCTCTGTTTCTCTCTCACTGTCCACGCTGCCTGTCAAAAAGTTGGATAAAGACACGGATTTCCAGGCAGGACCGACATAAAACTAGGTCCCAAGGCTGTGGCTGGAGGACACTCACTCTGGGTGGTTGTGCGGCCGACCTTGGGGGCTGAGGGAGCCTGGAATAGGATGGCGAGGGACGAGATCGCTGGCTCTCTGCTCGGTAGATACGTGGGCTAGCGCCAGGGCAGGGAGACTGTCACTAACTGGGAACAGGCCACATGGCGTGTATAATCTTGGGTTTACATACATAGAAAGTCTAGCTCGTGAGTGTTTTCTTAGATCCTGTATTTACTCATTGCTTACAGGGCCAAAGTTATTTGTATCCCCGCTGTGGTTCAGAGCGGCTCATCTCCAGCCCGTCACCTCTTACTCTAACCCTCACACATGCAGCCAGTATTTCCTCTGCCCTAAATCACCCAGGCCAGACAGCAAACAACTGGAGCCCACCAGCACTGCTCACTCTAGCCGGTCCTAAGCTGTCCCCCTGCCCTGCCTCATCTGTTGCATGGAAAACACAAACAAGGCTTGGCCTCTGCTCTCATGACTGACATTGGAGCTTCCCCCTGTAGCTCCGGGTGCTGTTCCCCACCAACCCCCCCCAATATGTAAGCAAGGAAAATCCCCTTGCAAAGTCCCTGGCCTCTCAGTGTTCCAGACTGAAGGCCTGTGTGCCCCGCATTCCCACGCTGACATGCTAAAATCCAACAGGATGGCATTAGGAAATGGGATATCACTTTGGGAAGTGACTTCTCTATGGGATGAGTGCCCACACAGAAAGAGCTGTGGTGCAGCCGGATGAGCTGCCCTAGGGGACAGCTGCATCCCACACGAGAGGGCCTGGTGTGCGTCCTGGCTACTCCCTGGGCTTCCAATCCAGCTCCCTGCTAATGCACCCGGAAGACAGCAGGTGATGGCCCAAGTGCTTGGGTTCCCGCCACTCCTATGGAAGACCCAGGTGGAGTTCTCGGTTCTTGGCTTTGGCCTGGCCCCACCCTGGCTGTTGTGGGCCTTTGGAGAGTGAACCAGTGGATGGACGATCTCTCTCTTCTCTGACTTTCCACCTTTCAAATCAATCAATGCATCTTAAAGTAACAACAACAACAAACAAAAGAACAGACTGATCCCTGGCCCCTGCTAGCCTGTCAAAGAAACCGCCCTAAATCAGGAAACAAGTCCTCACCAGACGACACCAGCTCTGCCGGTGCCCTGGTGTTGGACTTCAGAGCTTCCAGAACCCTAAGACGTCCCCGTCTGCCATCTAAGCTGCCCAGCGTTCTGCCTGAACGGATGAAGGCATCGCCAGAAGTCAAAATCCCGCAGGTGCTGTCCCTGGCCCTGCAGAAGGCCGTCCCTGCGCAGGGCGGCTTCCACGCCCGTCTCCTTGGCGAGGCTGACAGCTCTGAGAGGCAGGGGTCGTTCCATCCAGCGTGGGGTTCCCTCTGGCCGTCACACACCCAGGGTGCTCAGATGGAAGGGAACCGAGAGAGCCCTACCTTTCAGGCGGGACGTTATCTGTGTTGCTGCTGTGGCGTCTCTGCATTTTCCTTAACACCTGAAAGCCAACACACAGGAGAGTCAGAACCTCCCGACACGCCCACTGCTTATCAGGTTGCCACGGTAACCATCAACAAGGGCTCTGTTGGACCCCATTGTGGTCTTTCATGCCACCCGAGCTTCCATCTGACTGGCAATCCCATGAAGGAAGTGTGGTCAGCCCATCTCCCAGGTGAGAATGATGAGACTCGCAGGTGCAGGACGTCCTCAGGCGAGAGGAGCCAGCAGTGTGCTGTGCAGCTGGATGCTGGACTGACACTGCCCCTAACATGCTGTGTGACCTTGCACACATCAGCTACCTCTCTGTGGCTTCAGCCACTTAGGAGGCCTAGAGAGGTCAGACTCCTTCCGGGCCACACATGTAATAAAGTGGCCACTGGGGCGTACATTCCCGGGAACGGCCGTCACCTGTTTCACTGCGAGTAGCCACATGGACGTCAGCACTCCATACTGCCAACACCGGGGGTGGTCATTTGGCGCTCCTGCTGGGGAGAGGGTCACTGGAGCCTGGAGACGGCAGGCCTTCCCTCCTCTTCCTCTCTGGAGGGATGCACAGGTCAGGGGAGCTGGCCGGGACGCTCCAAAGCCTGGACGGCACAGAACACCTGGGTAAACAGCCGGTGGGTGCTCTGCGCCCGGTAAGTCTGCAACATTGTTGGTTGCAATGGGCAAATGACGCCAGCAGCTCCATATCCACTTGCTGATGCCTCTTTGCAACACTTTTGCATAGTTAAGATCACGTATTTGAATCCACTATTCCAGGATAAGACTTGACTGGGGAATGAGGTAAACATGTTTCAGATCCTCCCACGGCTGCCCGCCCCAAGCAGAATAAGTAGGCTCTGTTCACAGCCCAGGGATCCTGCCCGAGGTGGGTGCACACGTCTCACTGTCTCTTCTGGGACCAGGGAGTGCCTTTGACTTGCTCTGCAGATGGCAGGTCAAAGGTCACCTTCTCCCAAGGGTCCTGGCCACCCCGCTGACCTCTCCAGTTGTGGAGTGGTTTCCGAACTCCGCCAACCTCTCAAGGGGGCCCTGTCGTGCTTCCTAGGGCCACTGAGTGGAGCTAGAACCCATCAGCTATGTCTCCTTTGCTTTGGGCTAAGTGGGTCTTGGGCCTACCATGTCCCTACACAAAGGAAGGCCCATTAAGCAGAGTTCTCAAGAACCTGTCTGTTGCTCAACGCCCCCGCCCCCGCCCCCCAACCCGCAAATCCCTGGAGACGACACAGGCTCCCGAGGGCCGCCCGCACACCTCCTAAACGCAATGCCCAAGGTCTAGTTCGCACGCTTGCTTTCCACTCAGTTTCCGAATCTCTGTGGGAGGCAGGCGGTCCGTGAGTTCCTACAAAACCGAATTCTGGAACCAACGCCCGTACGCGGGACGGAGCTCCAGGACCGAACGCATCGCCCAGAGCTCCCCACTACCTCGGGGAGGGCCGCGCCGCCACCTTCCGAGGCCTGCGACGCTGTGCGTCGTGCGCGGGCCGCCACACTGCTGCACAAGCGCACGCGAGAGAGCATCTCCTGCAGTACTTGCAACGGAAGCAGGCAGGTGCGTCCGCTCCAACGTCGCGAGCGCTGTCCGCTCCTGCCACCCACGCACAGCGCCCAGCGCTCTGGGCTGCAAGGCTTGACTTCATAGACCGAGCCGGTTTTCAAGAAAAAAAAAAAAAAAGCGTTCTGCTATTACCTGCTCAGACAATTCAGCAATCACAACCGCATCACTCACGTCCATCTGAGCCAATCGCTGGCGCTGCGCGGGCAGCACGTGACTTCCGAGTGCTTCCGGTTTCTCCTCCCGAGCGTTCTCCAGGTTGCGGCTCTAGGCGCTAGGACCCCAGCACAGCTGCTCTGGTCGCTTGGAAACGATTGCCCGCCCCCTTCGCAGACTTTAGCCAATAGGAGACCTCCACTCCTCAAGGACCCAATGGTAAGGAGGGGTGGGCCAGTGACGCCCAGGAAGGGAGGCGGGGCGCGCCGGGTGTCACGTGTTGCGACGTGCACCGGCGCGGGGAGGCTGCCGGGAGCTGGCTCAGCTGAGGGTCCCGCGGCCGGTGCTCCCGGCGAGGCATGAGCCTGTCCGGCTCGTAGGGGCCATGCCGCCGGGTCTCCGGGCCTGCCACGCTTCGCGTCCCGGCCGCCGCGCCCTGCGTCCGCGCCGGGATGGTGAACCTGGCGGCCATGGTGTGGCGCCGGCTTCTGCGGAAGAGGTGGGTGCTCGCCCTCGTCTTCGGGCTCTCGCTCGTCTACTTCCTCAGCAGCACCTTCAAGCAGGTCAGTGGCCGCCCGTGCGTCCCAGGGTCCGAAGACGCGGGTCTCGGGACGGGCGGAGGGGCCTGCCCGTGGACTGGGGGCCGGGGGCGGGAGGCGTTGCCGGGCCAGGGCCAGAGCTGGCTGGGACGGGAGCCCGGCGCGACGCGGTGGGCGCCTGCACCTGCCCGGTCGGGGGCCGTGGGGGCGGGCGTCCTCCCGTCTCACCCTCGCGGCGGCTCTGGGGGCGCTGGGGGTCTTCGCATTACCGCGAGGACACCGAGCCTCAGGAGGGAGGGTTCGGCCGGGGAGGCCGCCCCTCGGGGGGCTGTGCTGAGCCCCCCAAGTGCCTCGGTGGACTCGAGGTTGGCAGGAATCCTCTTTGGCTTTCTCTCTCCTCGTTTTCTTCCGTGTGAGACTTTCTGGGAGAGATGGCAATTTAAGTCCACCCCGGGGTGTACCCAGGACGGCCTTGGGTTGTGCTGTCGTCCGGAATAATCATTCAAAGGTCCGCCTTCCTCTCTCAAGGGTCGTGGTCGTGGATAGAAAATAGAAGCGAAGAGAAGTAGATAAAACAGCCTGGCCACCCCCGTTTTAGCGGCTGGGCAGTGGGAGGTGCGACTCGGATCCAGCCCTCCGCCCGCAGGCTGGGTGGCGAGGCTGTCTCGCTGGCGCAGGTGTGTGGGTGATCCTGGGCGCCGCCGGGCTTCTGTGACTCGTTTCTGTCACCGCTCAGACAAGGTGTCGCTTCTCCGTCTGGTGGGCCTCTGAGTGTGTCCACCTGACGGTGATCTCTGAGCCACTGTTTCAGTACCAGTTGTATGCTGCGAGCATCCCCCGTTTGTCACCGGGGCCTCCACCTGTGCGGCAAACCTGACCGCCTATGTCCCGTTGCCCGCTCCATCTCTCTTCTTTATTTTTCAGGCTGTATTCTGTGGTCGAATACTCATGACGTCATACTTTTCAACCTTTTTTTTTTTTTTTTAATGGCAGACAGGATTTGTTATTGGTTGTTTGATGAGGGAGAGGGCAGAATAGAGGAAGGGACCGTGGTTGGGAGGTGTCTGACCCCACAGCCGTCTGAGACATCTTCAGGTTCATCTGCATTGAACCTGTTAGAGCTCGCTGCCTGCAGATGTGGATCTTCTCGCAGCCAGGGGACTTGAACTTGGCCCCGCATAGGCCCCAGTCCCTCGTTCCTTGTTCTTGTTTGGAACGGGTGGACGTGATGACTTGGCCAGTGCGAAGCCGCTGTGTCCGTGGTCTTTGCAGAAGCAGCTCACTTACTTGTGTGGAGCCTGTGGGCACCAGCACAGGTCAGCGTCTTTGGATGTGAATGACGCGGAAGGGGCGGAGCTGCACTCGAACGTGGGAGCGGTTTCCGCCCCAGCTTTTTTCCGCGTACTTGTTGGCACAGATCTGGGTCGTCTCCATGGCCTGAGAGAGCTGCTTTTGTTCAGCTGTCACCATACGGCTACACAGTGGGAACACATCCACTTTTGCCTTCTGGCCCAGATCTAGCACACAGATCTTGGCATCTGGGACCCCTGGACAGACGTGAGACTTTGGGCACAGCACTGGGCGGGACAGCAGCCCATGGCAATAGCAGGATCTGCAGTGGCCAAAGGGAAAGAGTCCCTTAACCATTTTAAGTGTTCAGTCTGGTGATGTTAAGTGCTTTCTTGGTGTTGGGCAGCCATCACCACCCTCCGTCTCCCTGACTCTTTTCATCTTGAAAAAGCTGAAACTGCTCAGCAAAAGTCCCTGGTAACCACCATCCTAGTTTCTGCTGACCCCACACCTCTCCCCCTCTCCCCCTCCCCCTCTTCCTCCCCCTCCCCCTCCCCCTCTCCCTCTCCCCCTCTCTCCCTTCCATCCCTCTCTTCCTCCCTCCCTCTCTCCCTCCCTCCCTCTCCCTCCCTCTCCCTCCCTCTCTCCCTCTCTCCCTCTCTCCCTCTCTCTCTCATTGTCATTTTATTTGAAAGGCAGACAGAGGTGTTTGTCCATTCACTGGTTCGCCCTCCCAATGCCTACAACACCAGAGCTGGGCTGGGCTGAAGCCAGGAGACGGGAACTCAGTTCAGGTCTCCCACGTGGGTTTCTGGGACCCAAGTACTGCTTCAAACCAGGGTGTACGTTAGCAGGGAGTGGGATCAGAGCAGAGTAGCTGAGACAACCCGTGCACTCAGATGCACGCATCTCACATGGCAGCTAGGCACCCGTCCCTTGATGTCTCGTGTCAGTGGTGTGCAGGCTTCTCGTCCTGGCCAGAAGGAGCTCTGGATTTTCTTGTCGGTGCAGCTTCCTCTTGCAGCCACCCCGCTCTCCGGAAGCAGCGCTGCCGTTCACCAGGTAGTTCAGGCCACAGAGGCCTCATCTTTCCTTTCCCTCATTCCTGCATCTGAAAGACGGGCCCTGCCTTCTCAGTGTCTCCTGCACCTATTCATTCTTCTGTTTGTCCCTGCTGTCACCCTCGGCCAAGCCACCACCACCTCTGACCCTTCCTGTCTCTCAGTCTGCTCGCTGCCTGGCAGTGGGGCTGATGATCTTTAAAGAGATTAGACTGGGGCTGACGTTGTGGCGTATATTGCCACTGGTTCGAGTCCCAGCTGCTCCACTTTGGATCCAGCTCCTTGCTAATGGGCCTGGGAAAGCCAGGGACTGTGGCCCAAATGCTTGGGCCCTTGAACCCATGTGGGAGATCCAGAAGAAGCTCCTGGCTTTGGTCTGGCCCCGCTTTGGCCATTACGACCATTTGGCGAGTGAACCAGCAGATGGAGGATTTCTCTCTCTCTGAAACTCTGTCTTTCAGATAAACAAAATCTTAAAAATAAAATCAGATCATGCTGTTCTCCCATGTGTGATTCTTCAGGTTCTTAATTGGATAGAACTCCAGATTCCATTCCAGGATTTCTCCAGGATTGAATATTTTTTTAAAAGATATATTTATTTATTTGAAAGTCAGAGTTACACAGAGAGGAGGAGAGGCAGAGAGAGAGAGAAAGAAAGAGAAGTCTTCCATCCGCTGATTCATTCCCCAATTGGCCACACTGGCCGGAGCTGCACTGATCCGAAGCCAGGAGCCTAGAGCTTCCTCCAGGTCTCCCACGTGGGTGCAGGGGCCCAAGCACTTGGGCCATCTTCTACTGCTTGCCCAGGCCATAGCAGAGAGCTGGATCAGAAGTGGAGCAGCTGGTACTGCTCATTAACAGAATATTTCCTGTTCATTTGCTTGTTTATCTGTTTCACCTCTCTCTTCATTTTAGAATAGAACTTCTTGAGAACAGGAACCTCGTCCTGTTGGACGAATGCATGAGCCTAACTGGGCTGCCTTCCCCTCTCCTCTCAGTCTGGAGAGTTCTGCTCACTTCCACGGCCTGGCTCGGGTGCTCTGTGGCCTTCCCCAGCACCGCTTCCCTGGCACTCCAGCACACCATCCTCATTTAAAACAAGTAATAATACAGTGTTCTTTGGTAAACCTGTGACTTGTGACTATAATTTGTTTTAGTGGAGATGGGAGAGAGTAAGAACCCCCTAGAGTGACCGGTGCTGTGGTGCAGCACCAGTTCAAGTTCCAGCTGCTGTACTTCCGATCCAGCTCTCTTCTGTGGCCTGGGAAAGAAGTAGAAGATGGCCCAAGTGCTTGGGCCCCTGCACCCACTTAGGAGACTTGGAAGAAGCTCTTGGCTTTGGATTGGTGCAGCTTTGGCCGTTGTGGCCACCAGGGGAGTAAAACAGCAGATGGAAGACTTCACTCGCTCTCTGCCTCTGCCTTTCTCTAACTGTGCCTTTCAAATAAATAAGCAGATCTTAAAAAACAAACAAACAAAAAAACCTAGAATTATTGGGCAGTGTTTTTGCTTTTTTTGTTGTTGTTGTTTTAAGATTAATTTATTTGGAAGGCAGAGTTAGAGAAGAAGAGACAGAGAGGTTGTCCATCTGCTGATTCACTCACCAAATGGTCACAATTGCCTGAGCTGGGCCAAGAGCCAGGAATGTCCCCCCCCCCCCCCCCCGTGGGTGCAGGAGCCCAGGCATTTGGGCCATCTTCCACTGCTTTCCCAGGTACATTAGCAGGAAGCTGGATTGGAAGCAGAGCAGCTGGGACTGGAACCCGTGCCCATATGGGATCCTGGCGCCCAGGCGGCGACTTTAATCATGGCACCATGGCACCAACCCAGAACTGTTTCCTGATTGTTCCATGGAGAGAGGGAGACAGCAGCACTTTGAACTAAATGTAGAGCACTGTGAAGTGAGGAAGGAGATGTGAGGGGAGCTCATGTGTCTTAGCTTGGGCTGCAAGGGTGGACTGCCAAAGACAGGTGGCTTCAGTGAGGAGCATTTATGCTGGAGGCTTAGAAGTCCAAGACCCGGTGCTGAGGATTCCACAGCTGGTGAGGGCCCTCTTCCTCCTCACATGGTGGAGAGAGAGCTCTGAGGGTGTCAGCCTGTCGTCTGGGCTCCACCACCCTCACCTCTTTGAAACCTGGTTATCTCCTGGAGGCCCCACCTCCAAATACGATCAGACCTGGGATAAAGGCTTCCGCGTAAATTTTCAAGGGACACAGACGTTCAGCTCGTAGTCCTGTGCGACTGCGGGTTCTCCTCCTGTGCAGCTGGCTTCGCAGCCAGTGGCCTGCTGCCGCGTTCTGTGCCTGGTTTTCAGGTCACATCCGTGTGTGCTAACAGAAATGTCAGGAAGTGCCACTTTGCCTGTGTCTGTGCTGACATAGCATTTCCAGCCTTTCTGCCCTGCAGTTTGATGCCTGACAGACAGCACTCACATTTCAATGTGTGTTTTCATATGCATAGCACATGTTCATATACTTCAGGCCATTTGGGCTGGATTTTCCAAGCATGACTGGTTTGTATCTTTTTCCTATTTTACCTTTTGTTTTTACATCTTGGCTTTGTTTGGAGTTCATTTTGGTGTAGGATGTCATTTTGTTCTCTCTTAATGTTTTTATTTATTTGAAAGAAAGAGATCTTCCATCCATTGGTTCACTCCCCGGATTCCTGCAACA